TCGATTGGTGTTTACTTGTACTGGGTACGTCGATTCTAAAATATAATTACGCCGTTGCAGATTGTTTTTAGTTTTGGCTAAATTTTATTTTTAAGTTTCATTAATATTCTTTTATTAATTAACCTATCATAACTTGTAATTTTAACATTGTACCCTCACATAACACCTGATAAATTTTTATAAAAAATAATTTTTTGAAATATTGTATTATGTTTAAATAAAAATAAGCAAATATAATTTTATTTAGGCACCGTTCCAAATAGTTTATTTGATTTGATATTTTTGTCAGTTTTTATTTGATTTAAAAATTAAAAATTAACTGAAAAACAAAATTATTCGTTATTTAAATCAGTAAAAACTATAAATATTTTGATTTGCAATTTCATTCGATTATTGTATTTTATTTAACTCTTGAAAAAGGATAAATTTTTATTTTTATTATTTTTTTGAATTTAGATATTTAAAAAAATTATTAGATCTGTCACCTTAGATACATTAAACTACATAATTTAACGAATTTTAATGATATTATGATACATTTATTATATACACTGTAATAACTTATTTATTTAATGATTTTTTTTCATATTTATTTCGCCTTGAACATCACAAAATGGACAGGTATGTTGGCGACTTGTGATCAATATTTATTTAAAATAATGTTAGAAAAAGAAAACAAAACTGTTTCAAATATATTTTGTTTGCTTCAATGCAGAGCTGAAAAGGTGTTGGCTTTACAACGAATTAACTATTTTTTTGTGTGTTTATGGACTCAAAATGTACTTAAATTTTAAAAAAATGTACTTTTTTGTACTGATTTGACTTTATTTTGAACTTAGAAGCATTATTCTGATCATTAACTAATATCATTATTACAATCGACCTTACTATTGTATTGCGTGAAATCGGTCGCATGTATTTCAACATACACCACCGAATATGTCCAACGCTTATTTTGTATATTCTAAAGAAGAAAATTATAATAAACGAGTGATGGACGATATGTCTTTCAACATTCATCATGACCAAGTACTGCCCGCTTTTTCGGTTTTATTTTCTATTTATATTACCAAAGATGTAGATATGATATTAATATTTGTTTATTTTGATATTTTTTACCCACTTTTACATTTGACACTAACCCGAATTCAAATTTTATTTTGCAGATCCGTGTGCTTCTATGTGCCACCAAAACAGTTACAATGTCAGATAAAAAATATTATCGAACATCCGAAGACTTATCAAAACCACATATTTGACACCGAAATTAATGGAGTTAGAGACGAAAGAACAAAACTTTAGAAAAAGTATTGGAGGCCAGGACGACCTTCACGTTTATCTTATTATTGGTACATTCAAAGACAGATTACTCACAGTAGAAAGACAATTATTATCCAATATTATTCATGCTGTGACTGTCATATTAATGATAGGCCTCGTTGTCCTAAGGACAGGAATTAACTCCCATAAGCTATTTTTTTTTATTAAGGAAATCCCCTTTTTATTGAGGAATAAATCCAGACGTACTAGAAGTTCCAGTGGAACTAATTAGTCAATTATTATTTCAGTTAGTTGTTTTTTTTATAATTGTCAGTTTATTTTTTTGTAATTTTTCTCGTGCACACGTTAATTAACTTGTCAATTCTCAAACCTATTAAAACAATTATTAATAATAATGTCGAAGTACAGGGTGGGTATCAATCGCCACTGCACAATGTATATTATTTCCTATACATTTTTTATAATTTTGAATTAATTTTAAAGTTAGAAAATCGACTAATATTTAAAAACCCACTCATTGAAGTTACACCTGATGATCCGGGAACTGCATTATTTAACATCATCGAAAAGCTTCTTAATTACTACTTGAGAGACGGCTGCTTTAAGGTTAGTCTGCTTGATGATACTCTATTCTATAGTGTACTACCTATTTTACAATACGTCCATCGGCCAAAAGCACTGGCTAATCAGAAATCATATTTTGCTAACAGCACCGTCTAATGGAATTATGGGCTATAATATTATATAGATTTAATTGTTTTAATAGTTTACGACCTATTCTCAGACCTACTGAATATACACACAAAATTTCATAAGAATCGGTCAAGCCGTTTCGGAGGAGTTTTGTTACAAACACTGTGACACAGTAGAATATATAGAAGATTTAAAATAAACCAAGCAACACAAGAAACAATTAACATTTTTAAGACTACGTGCTACATTGTAGTAGTGATGATTATCTAGGTTATCTAGTAAGTACAGTGTTGCCCCTTATACAACATTCCCTTTTTCAAACATTTTTTTTTACCTATAAATATTGTAAGAGCTAATATAGTAATTATTATTCAAAATATTTCTATTCTTTAGTTATTTCTAAAAATATATCAGATAGGTTTATTTCAATGTTTCAATATAAACGCAAAAATAAAAATACGGAATATCTGACGACATGGAATTATTTCGTGACGATTAATGCCAGATAAGTGTACAAAACAGTATAGGTGCTATAAAAATAAGAGTCTAAATGCATTTATTTAGGTGTTAAATTAGCATATTATATCTTATTCTGCACTTTGTGTGATAATTAATTGTTTAATTAAATTAAGGAGCGTTTGATAATGACGAGCCGGTTAACGATTGAATAACAATAATATAATATTATTTAGTCCCTGCCATCTTCAAAAATTATTTCACATTGGTGATTATATATTAACTTAAAAAAAACGTTGTAAAAATGTAGTGCATATCTTTATTGAAAAAAATATCTTCGTTGATTGTTTAACACTATTATAAAATTTCCAATTAAATAACAGAAAAATGGTGATCTGACTATGAGGTGTGAGCATTTTTTTTATAACGCATGTGTTCACTGCTAAAAATAACTATTCTGTGGTTTGGGACTTAGACATTTTTGCAAGTAGGGTCCTTAATAGTGTTGACAACAGACTTTTGAAAATGTTTATATTTCATAGAAAAAAAAAACAACAGAGAACAATCGAAATAAAAAAAAATCTTCTGGAAGAAACGGTAGTTTTTTGGATATCGGTAGCATACAGGGTGATTCATTAAGCACAAGAGAGTAAATTTTTCTTAAGAGTAAGATATTGTAGGAAGACAGAAAAATTATTTGACCATTAAATATACTTTACACTGGATTTTTTTTTTTAAGGTTCCAACACTTTTTTGGTAGATCAAAATTTAAATCTTACTAAAATAAATGGTCTAGTAAAGTTGAAAGACAATCTCTAACCTCGTTATAAGCGACTGAACCATTGTTGTATCTGCCAGATAATTGGATGGCCTATATATATATATATATATATGTGATCATAACACTCCATGTCTTCAGTAATAGCTATATTCTCTTTGAGTTCTTATTTAATTGTGAAAAAAAATGTATTTTAATTGTAGTAAAAACATATACATTTAAAAATTATCAAAATATTATTCAAACAATTTCTAATAAACAACATATATTTTGAACTATCCTAGCAACAACAATACCTAGGAAATAAGTAAAAGAATAATACTGATTAGCTGTGTTTTAATTATGTAATGAAATAGGTATATTACTTAGGTATATGACATTTTTACTAAGATAATTAAAAATAATTTTCTCTCACTTCTCTCTTTGAGATTCTCACTGATTTATGAACACTGCACTCGTAGATGGTACTTGGTACAAGTTGGTTCCAGTCTTATTTTTTGGCCTTATGGCGCTTTTCATATAACTTTTTGTTGTTCCGCCATGTGTGTGAAGCATACCTTAAATGTTACAGAAGTTTTTTTTTTTGGGTAAATTGGAATCAAACTCTAATTTATTTTTCTTACGTTTCTATTCTTCTATTTTTTTTTTATTTTATTTATATATCAATTACATTATGTAGTTGTAAACTATTTAAATTTAATCACACAAAGAAATAACATGAAAGAAAAACATTGATGAACTTAAAACATTTTTCTGATTAAACGGATTTGAACTACGGTCCATGAGCGTCTTACAGTATTGCGTTACGCACTTCTCTATGCTTCAAATTTAATAGAAATAGATACAATTTTATTACTTAAGTACAATATATAAATAATCACACCTAATCAACAAAAACAATTTTTTTTTGGTTTTGTTACAGCCCAAATGTTTTTTTCCTAATTTTGTAATCTATTAATTTTGTAAATATTCACTGTTTATTAAAATCTCATTTATAATTTTTTATTAAATAATTACCTATAAATTTTATGTTACGGTCTTTATAATGTATAATATATTAGAAAATATTATATTAAGTATAGTATATTATTCTATAATAATATATTTATAATTTTCTATTTTATTCTACTTATTCATTTTATTAATAAAATACTTACTTACGTTGTAATAAAAATAAAATTATTAAATAAAAAAACTTTACACTTAACTCGTTAGGTGATGAGTGACAATACAACAAAATTGTATTGACATAGATTTTAGCCATAGACCTAATAAGAAGGTTCATATTAGGTCTATGATTTTAGCCCGTCTTATAAAAAATAAAGAGGTACCACCAAAATTAGTTCAGCGTAATTTTCTAGTATATTTTACATTACCATTTCTTCACAACCTGTCACAAATTAACTATTACCAAAACAAAAATCAAAAAACAGATTTTCATAATCGAAATTTTATTTTTACAGTTTTTCAACGCCGATCACAATATTATTCATTACTTATAGTAGGTATATTACTATACTTATATACTTGTATTGCGTATGTTAATTATTACTTATTTTATTAATATTCTTATTGACATTTGACACTAATAATCGACAGAGATTTTTCTAAATAATACAATAGAGGAAAATAACATAATACCTGGGTACCTATATAATAATAATAATATCTACGTGCAATTAACCAGTTACCGCGTTACTGGTCTGTCGTTATCAAATGCCGATGCGGCAAGTAAACAACCTTTTTGGTGGTTGCGACTTGTGATAAGCGCGAAATCTGATAATAATGTTATTCTGTTGTTTTGAGCTGTGGTCGTTTGGAATCCAACGACTTAAGTCGACGACTATATAGTTTCTATTACGTTCAAAGATTAACACAGGTAGAGAAATAAAATTAAAAAAAAAAAATATGTTCACATTTTCGCCTGTACGTTCTACTACATTGGCTCATCGTGGAGAACCGTAGTAGGTAATGTAAAACCGTTGAAAACGCAATTGAATAGCATAAATTTGTTTTAATCTTAAACAATACCTGTATAATAGTAAACATTCGGTCTCGGACCACACCTTCTAATGGTAGATTAACAGACAGACCAACTCGCAGTAAAACAGTTTGTGTGGGCGTTACAAATGACATCTTACAATGTGTGGGCATGCAAGATCACTGTAGTGTAGGATGATCGTCATACATTGTCACATAAAAATTCTGCTATCGATTGGCAATATTTTGTTAACTACAACTTGATAAAGCCGTCGTTCGATGTCTGGCGATACAATGACCGAAAAAGAAGTCAGTGGTTTATTGGTGACCGAATGGTCGGAATTCATCAAAGGTGAGTCAGAACAACAAAATAGTTTTTTTGTTGCATAAAATGTGTTTGATAAGTACCATCACATACAAACTTTTTTTTGTATGAACAGATCAGCTGTATTTCGCTACATTGTCGGTTGGCGTACAAAATAAATCACCGCTGCAACCGTCGGTTCCGTGGAAAAACGAACACAATTTAGTCTATCTGAACATTGACGATACATTAGTCTATGAAAATTTTTACAATGATTTCGGACCTTTGAACTTGGCTATGGTTTATCGTTATTTTACTATTGTTCGTCAAAAATTAAATGTGAGTATCGTTAAGACAATTTAACAAAAAAAAAAAATAATAATTTGTTTTTTTAATTAGCAACAAAAAAAAGTAATACATTGCACCAGCGGATTTGACCCTAAGAAAAGAGCAAACGCGGCAGTTTTGATTTGCGCTTACATGGTGAGTGTATTAATGATACAATCCAACAAACTTTTGTCGATCGTCTAAACGAATTCCTAATTAGATGTTTTTAAGTAATTTTTTCACGTATGTCACTCTTATTCAGATTTTCTTTTAGACTAACCCAAAAACATCAAGCATAAAAAATTACTACTGTAAAGTGTACTTTTCAGTTTTTTATAAATAGTATAAAATATGTAATATTGATACTATTGAAAATGCGCATTTACAACGGTATTATAGAAAATATGATCTTTGCTTTTCATCCCGCTGCTATTTGTTTCTTTCAGAGTTTTGGATTTATTATTGAGAGGTTTGCCCTTAATCATAATTCTAGTAAACCAGTAAAAAATAGGTGTAAAATATTGTTACATTTAAAATTTCTCACTGCACAATAAGTGAAACTTAAAATAATGGCTTACAATGTATGAGATGTTATTATACTATTTTCAATTACAAATTCTCAACAATGTCAGAGTAATGATCAAACTCTTAATTCAAAAACAATATTTTAAAATCTGTAGAAAAGGGTTAAATTTATTTTTTATGACTTGATTTTATGAGTTTTCTAAGTATTTGACATTGAATATATATTAGATAAAACTTTAAAAAAAACCATTTACATTTAAATTGTATTCAAGAAAACAAAACTGTTCTTTAAAAAATGAAATGAAATTTAAATCTGGTTTTAGTTGCTTTTAGTTAACAATTCTTTTAGTCCATCCAAAACGTTGTTCTGGTAACAATGACTACAAGCACTAATGAAATGACATAATACTAGTTAATGATTAATGACTTAATTTAACCAAAACTAATGCCTAAATTTTACAGGCTCAATGTTTATTTGCAATTTTGTTTTTGTAGATTATTGAACATGACTGGACAGCTCGCCAAGCATATACAACTCTGTCGCATAACTCATTGTTACGATACATGCAATTTAGGTACACAATAATTGATGACAATCAAGTTCAAAATAATTAAATTTATTATTTTATAATTTATTGAAAAATAACTATGAAATTTTATTCAAATTTGTAATATTATTTTTTTTTTATTTATATATAGAGATGCGTCTCTATTGAAAGACACAGAATTTATTATTACAGTGGAAGATTGCGTTAACGCGCTGTACAAAGCAAAGTGGTACGGATTTTTTGACTTTGACGATTTCGATTTGGACGAATACGAGAAATTAGAGGTTAGTTCACGGTTTGTTAGTACGTCACTATTCATAATTTATTATTTTTTTTATGTTTCCAGACTGTCAAGGACGGCGATATCAATTGGATCGTGCCTGGTACACTGTTGGCCTTTTCGTCTCCGCATTCTAGAGAGTATATTGACAAATGTAATTTTGTTTTAATGTCAATTAATATTTTACTATTATCAAGCGTAAAATTTGTTTTTTTTTTTTTGTTTTAGCTGGATACCACATACATTCTCCGGCTTATTATTTTCAGTACTTCTTGGACAACAACGTCAAACACGTGGTCAGATTAAACAATAAAAGAACGTACGACGCTAAAAGCACTTTTGTAGCGGCCGGCAACATCGATCATACGGACATGTTTTTCCCTGACGGCACTCCACCTTCGGACGCTATTCTTTCACAATTTCTGAACCTTTGTGAGGAATTTTTAGACGATTTTCCTAATGAAGAATGTACGCCCGAAAAAACGGACCCACAAGATATCGATAGCCAATTTTCAACATCAAACAGTTCAGTAGAAAATGGAATATGCAGAGCCACTAAGGGAGCCGTAGCCGTCCACTGTAAAGGTAATATCCCTGATACTGTTTAAAACACTTTCCTTTTTTTTCTTCTTCTGTAGCCACAAAATGTATTAATTTAATTCGTTTACCTATAACAGCCGGATTGGGAAGGACAGGCTGCTTGATAGCTTCTTATATCGTGAAACACTGGTCATTTACGGCCGAAGAAGCTATAGCGTGGATACGAATATGTCGTCCGGGCTCCATAATTGGTGCACAACAAGAATGGCTGGTCAAGTAAGCGACGATGACCAAATACCGAAAATAGCATAAAATGTTCATCTCATTATTGTTTCAACTATGTAGAAAACAAAATTACCTAAGAGAGGCGGGTGAACTGTGGCGGCAGAGAATAAAAGATTCAGTCGGTAAATACAAACGGTTCGCCAACGGAGTAAACAGCCTCGAAAGACACACCTCCGCTTCCAATTTTTATACGTTTGTAGATGCCCCTGCTCCGTCTGCATTGAGTTCCGGTAGCGACGAACCTAATCAAATAGATTGCGTTAACAACACATTAGAATGTACTCAAACTGATAAGGTAATTTAAATATTGTATTTTATCAGTATCAATTTGCTACAGCACAATCTTGTAACTATGACCGGTGTTTGGAAAGAACGTGTTCAAAAACGGATGCGTTCTTTTTATTTGAACAAAATATTATCAGACCGCGTTGACATTCATTTTTTTGTAAACAAAATTTGTATTTTCTCAAACTTAAGTGTTAAAAAAATGTTTTTATACGTGCAATATCTATACTTACATTTAGTAGAAATTTTGGGAAGGGGGGCCCTAAATTAAATTAAAAAAACTTATTACATGTAGAAATTTGTACTTGATAATTATTTTAAAATAATATTTGAACGTCGATAGTAGGTATGTTATAAAAATAATATCTTAATAAATACAATTTAATAGTGTAAGTAAAAAAAAAAAAATTAATAATAAAAATACAAATAATGGTTTATTTAAAACATTTTTTTTTGGCTTTGTTTGATGCAAAAGTGTTCAAAAAATCCTCGAATAAGCGGTTTTTTGTTTGTCATTTTCAGTAAACATTTTTAATTAGAGCCAACCTTAAAAAAAAATTAGCGTTCTGCTTCACAATTTGTTAAAAGTATTGCCAGATATAACATCAATGCAATAAATACATTTGGAAAAATATCAATAAGATTTCGTTCATAAAGAAGTTTAGCTATAGCACCGAAATTGTCAACATCTGAGGAAACTGTTTTTAAATAATAATCAAGTTTAGTTTTAAAGTGTACCAAAAATGTAAATTGAGAAAAAAACAGATTATAAGCATTTAGTCTCCTGTCAAATCAAATCCTGTCGTGAATCAAATTTGTCTAATAACTAAGAATGTATCAACTGTAATCTTTTCGGCCACTTAAAAAAGTTTCATGTCGTTTTTTTCTTAACTTGGAACTATAATTTAAAAAAATTTAAGTCCCAACATTTATCTGAGGCCCTTTTTGGGTGGGGGGCCTGGTCTAAGTTTTCTTAGCCCCCCCCCCCCCTCTTAACCTGGGTTTTGATATGGAGATCAACCGTACTGTTTTCATTACAGATCAGTCAATGCCAAAGTTTGTCGACAGTCAAGAAAAAAATGAAGATAAGCGACGTCCAGAGCGACTCGAATCAACGTCAAGCTACGATATTCATAAAAAATGACAATTCCAAGCGGAAAATCACCACTCCTACGAAGCTCGCTCGGTGCGCTTCGATTGCCGGTGTCGTCACCGGTAAAAACAAAGTGTCTTCCTCGATCACGATGACGATAGCCAAAAGTAGTAATTCAAAATCTTCCAGCGTCGCGAAGAATGAGGCTAAGGCCAATAATCGTTTGTCCAGGACGTCAACTGCTGTAGCAAAGCCGACAACGTTAGTAAAAATTTGTTATGACGTTATGACGTTATTATTGTTCGTTCAAAATATTCATTTAAATGTGATTGAAAATCACCAAAGGTGTTGTTTCAAATATTTTATGACCGAAAATAAATTATTATATTTACATATTCCAGGGTCTTGAACGATGATGCGAAACCTTCATATGCACTAGACACCGTCGCATCAACAGCTCGCATGTCACGACGGTTGCGCCACCAGACCGGCGTCGCCAAATAGGTCTTTGGAATTTTTTAAACTGTTTTTTAAACTTTTTTAATACCCAAAAATTGTTTCCGCGTTTCGTACGGTTCGACAGACCTCTTCTTCGACCTTACGAAAACTCCTCGTAATATTAGTAGTTTGTCGTTTTTTATCATTATTACTTCACCGTGCGTTTACTAATCACCGTGCTGCTAACATAATTTTTTATCTTTAATACTTTTTATATTGTTTTCAAATAATATTTCCTTTTTTTATTTAACTATTATTTTTAAGGCTACCACTGTGTACATAGATTGTTTTTTTCCTGTCTTGTTAATTGTGTGTTTTTATTATTGATTGATGTATGTATGTTTTTATAGTGTAATAACTTTAGGCGACCCATCCCAGGTATCGAATCCATCGAGGTAATCGCCTCCTTAGTAGGAAACGATGACTGCTTAAACTGTTTCTAGAAACGACAATGTAACTATTAGTAATAATTTCACTTATTGCGCTATTTAAAAGTGTTACGTCGTCCCGTACTACAACTAACTATTAGTTTTTAATCGTGTTATCACGGTCACTTAAAGTATTGATTAATTTATGTTATATCTAGTCAAAACAGATTAACTTACTGACTTAAAAAAGCTTAAAAATTTTTTTAAAATTTTATTATTGTATTTATCTGGATAATAATTCTTTTAACTTGTGTCGAGAATCATTTTTGACGTAATCCTGTGTGTCGTGTTACATTAATTATATTTATTATTGCCATTGTCGATTACTTTGTTTAGAATATAGTTTTATTATCTTCTATTGTTAAACTAGTTTTTAGAATTTTTTAAGAATTCTAATTTAGTGCGTATGAAATTAACGGTAAACAATAATTTTTGTATAATTATAATAAAAATGTATTGTGTATTTAGATTGTAAAATTAGTTATCAATGTTTTTTTATAAAACAAAATAATAATAATTATAGTTCGAGACAATAGTAAGAACAATATTTTTAAAAAAAGAAAAACAATGTTTTGAATAAACTTTACGTTAACATATTATCATTACATCGTGGTCGTTGTTAAATTTTTAGTGTATCAATACTTTTAGTACTTAACATTGATGTGCTTGATTATTGTCTGTGGGTTACATTATGTTTTTGTTTTAATTAACTGTTTGTTATAATTCGATAAATTAGGTATGTTTAATTTAAGAATTTGAATAACAAATTCAACATGACCATATAAGGGGTTACACATTAGGTACGAGTTACAGTAATAAATTAATACCTACTCTTAAAAACTATTCTCAACAAAAGGCAAATATTAGACATTTTAATGGTCATTTGATAATTGCTTACAATCAATGGTTTTATTTTGTTTATTGATTGAAGTCTCCAATTCTGATATTTAAGTTATCATTTTCTATAAATGTGTATTATCTATCAGTTTGAAGCCTAAACGGTAACGCACACGTTTCATTATCTTTTTTAATTGAAAATAATGAACTAAAAACTGGTTGACTGGTCGATAACGAGTTTTGGATAACTATTTTTGAAATTATTGAAGTTTTGAATTTATGGTACCTAAGTGGAAAGGTGAAGTGTGGTATTTTTTTTTTTTATCTGCGTGCACTTTCTCTCCCGTGTTAACTTTTAAGCTCATAGCTTTAAAAACAGTCTTTCAAAACCGGTTTTCAACCAGTGAAAACTTCTACTACACTATTGTCAAATTAAAAAGTTAAAAAGTGACTGAACGAAAATTTTCCAAATTCACGCAATACTTACTTATAAGTGAGTAGAACATCTGGTAAAAGTTTGGCGATGGAGAAATTGTTCTAACGTCAGTGGTAAGCGTTCAAATTTTACGATTTACACTTATCGGAAATATACACAATTCACATTTAAATAAGAACATAACTTCGGGAACATGAGGTGTTTTTGGATATTTTTTTTTTTAAAATTGACCTACCTGGGCCAAAAAAAAATATTAAAAATTAAATAAAACAAGGACCTATAAAGAATGTATGATAAAAATTTCAAACATTTTTGAAGTATAGTCGCACACCCATTAGGTGATTTCACGTGGAATGACCCTCTGCATATATAATATATGTGTGTATGTGTAGTATTAACTATTACTATATATTATAATATTAATAAAATCATACGTTTACCGTGTGTAGAATAAATAATAATATTATCCGGACATTGTGGTAGGAGTTTTGTTTTTTTTCAATGGTGGGCGATAATGTCATGTCAACGACCGACTAATGTATGTTGTTATTATTATATTATAGTATACAATATGCGACAATTGGCACATGCACATAATAATCGTGTAATTGTGTACCTATATGGGTATAGGTGTTACAGTCATTGTTTTTACCATGGTAAAGGCAAATAAATATGTTTGCAATAATTGCATTGTATTATTAGTGTAAGAATTGATCTAAGTGAGTTATAAAAAAATTTGCTAATTGCTATATAGATCAAAGTATATTTTTTTTTTGCCCCAAAAATATGCCTTTTAGGTACAATTTTTTTAACTATAGACTTGCTTCAACGTTATAACAAATTGATTTTCATTTTATTTAGGTATTCTATACATTGTTAAGATACTCAAGAGGACGTCATACCCTCTATTTGTTAAGGCGTTCGGTATAGGTCATGTTTTGCAAAATCATAATATTTAAAGATTTAACCGTTTTGTCTAATTAGTTCAATATAATTATAGCACTCTTTTTTTTCTCTCTTGGTAGTTAATTTATTATTAATCGGATTATCGCAGCATTCTTGAAATCAAATTTTTCATCTAAACCTAATTCCATCGAATATTATTGACTAGGTATAATAGTCGTAGACAATTTTTTACACACTTAAAATAATGAGAACTTCATATTCTAGATTCTCTCGTCGATTTTTTTTTTTAAATATTAGTTACCCAACATTCAGAAATTTTGAATTTTTTAAATACTTGTGTTTAAGGTAAAATTTAATGTATCTAAAAAAATACCTATAGAGAGAACCTACAGTTAAAGTAATTCTATTTTAAACAGAATCAAACATTTTTTTTATAAAGAATACTCGTAGGTACCTATTAAAAAAAAAGAGGAAGAATTATCTAGAAAAATAAAAACGACAAATTTAATATAATATCAAAAGTAATTTCTTTTTGTCAAGTTCTTAAAATGGAAATAATTTGATGACAGTCTTTTTTTTTAGTATTAGGTTTGCTACACAGCACACTGCGCAAGTCTTATAATGATAATAATAATAATAATAATAATGAATTGGTCATCAGAGAATTACAATTTAAAAACATATTTACTATTTAAACCTAAATTAACAAAATGATCCAATTCACCACAGAGTAAAAATAAAAATAATAGGTAACAATAATACAAAATAACAGTAAAAACAGGTAATATTTACACGGGGATAGAAATTAAATATTTAAACGAGATTCACAAATACACCAAAAGAGATCTACATGTTCATTCAAATGTTTTAATATCTATACTTATGTTTAGTAGTTAGAAAAGAAAGAAATTTTGGGAAGGAGGGCCTTAAATTAAATTAAAAAAACTTATTACATGTAAAAAATTTGTACTTGATAATTATTTTAAAGTAATATTTGAACGTCAATAGTGGGTATGTTATAAAAATAATATCTTAATAAATAACATTTAATAGTGTAAGTAAAAAAAAAAAATTAATAATAAAAATACAAATAATAGTTTATTTAAAACATTTTTTTTTTTTTGGCTTTGTTGCAAAAGTGTCCGAAAAATCTTCGAATGAGCGTTTTTTTATTTGTTATTTTCAGTAAACATAATAATTGTTGACACATCCAACCTACCTTCGATGAACCTTGAAAAAAATTACCGTTCTGCTTCACAGTTTGTTAAAATTATTGCCAGATATAACATCAATGCAATAGATACATTTGGAAAAATATCAATAAGATTTCGTTCATAAAGAAGTTTAGCTATAGCACCGAAATTGTCAACATCTGAGGAAACTGTTTTGATATAATAATCAAGTTTAGTTTTAAAGTGTACCAAAAATGTAAATTGAGAAAAAAACAGATTATAAGCATTTTTGTCTCATGTCAAATTTGTCTACAACAACTAAGAATATTATCAACTGTAAACTTATTTTTCGGCCACTCAAAATAGTTTCATGTCGGTTTTTTCTTTTTAATATACAATGTATAGTGGGTTTTTTTCGTAGTTTAATTATTCGTTTTTAATTTTTCCTACTGCGCAGAGTAGGTATACCCAGCTTGAATAGATTTCCGTCTATTCTGTCCCCCGGGGGCCACACAGTGCTTTGTTGATTATACCGTAGACCTACAGTATAATCACAGAACAGGCTAAATTAAATTAAATAATAATATATTTCAATCCACTCTGCCGTGTTGGGGGATTTGGCACAATAACAATTGCGTAGGTATTACACAACGACTCGTTGGCGTCGCAATTTTCTTATCAAAAAAAAAATTATTATCAGTTTTTTTTCTCTTATCTGTACAATGATAACAGCCGTTGCGCCCAATCGACGACGGCGGCGGCGGCGCCAACGAGCGTGGCACGTGCACCGTGCAAAAACCGTACATGTACATAACAATGATAATAATACATAATATACTATATAGGTATATATCGTGTTGTTTTTGTTGTTGTCGTTATCGTGTGTGTTTACCGCGTACCGTGACTTATAACCGTCGTCGGGTCTTGTAAATAACGATAAATATTGATATTATATGCAAATTTCCGAAAACCGTCAGCGGCACTGCCCACGGGCCGCCGCCGTCGCCGCCTAACCCGGTCGCGGCATGTTGTCTTCGCCCGGACAAGCGGAACGTCGTTTGCCCGTTATCGCCATCGACCGTCGGCCGCCGTCGCCGCCAATTTGTTGATGCACAATATTATCGCACACAAGTCCCCAATCATGACGTCTCTGCCGGACGACGGTCCGTTTCGTTTTGACAAAAATCTTTTTTGAAAACATTTTTTTTTTAAAAAAATGATAGCCGCCGACCCGGAAACGGCGCCTCGACTTCGGGTAAAAAAAAAACAAACGTCACAAAACGCAACAAAATTATTATCATAGAAAATATTGTAAACGATAATTATTCTGTCCGATTTTCAGCAGCAGCAGCAGCAGCGCGACGACGGACACCCCGAAACGGTCGACCCGATGCCGTCGCCGACGCACCCGCATGACGACAGGCCGTACCCGGTGGCCGCCAGCGTGTACGTGTTGATCGACGACGAAAAGTTGATGGGCACCGACATGCGCGTCATGTGGTTTCTCAAGCGTCTGGGATGCGTGCTCAAAGTGGACGTGGACCAGGCCGACCAAGAGCTGTCGTCCGAACTGTGTAAAATCGTGTCGTTCGTGCCCAGAGACGACGCCAACACGACCGCCGCCGCCGTTACCAATCGCGTTGACCGCAGCAATGGTCCCAACGACAATCATCGCTTTTTCACCATGGACTCGCTGACCCGCGTATACTACCTGACGTCTGTGTACACGATGGTGTACTGTTTGGATATGAGTCCGTCCAACTGTTCGGTGGTAGGTTTTCGTGTATTTAATTTTCATTTGCATATCGAGACGACGTTATATTGGAGCACTTTACTCGTTCTACAGCGGTTTCAAAACGTGACCTGTTACGTAACTGAAAGAAGATGATGTGTCTTGATGCTTTTTTTTTAAATATGCTTTAAAAAAATATATTTTTCTTTTGAAAAAGTGAAAAATGTCCAATTATTCTTTTCGAACTCTCTAATAAAAGTGGTATAACGTCCTCTCAATACAGTAGACAACATAATTCATTTAGTATATACGCCTAACACTAACATCACACTTGTCATTTGTAAAAATCTCGCAATACTAATATAATATTTTTTTTTTGTGGTTCTGGGATGTTTTGATCATAACATCATAAGTAGTGATGTAATGTAATGTATCATACACATCGTATGTAGATACAGTCGAGTCTCAATAACTGAAGGTTAAAAAGAAGAAAAATGAAATTACCAAGTGAATACTGAAATTATAGAAGAATAATATTAGAAAATTGCAAAACAAAATAATTGTATAAATTAAAAGTGTCAATGCTTTATCAGTGTTTTTATTCCTCGTATACACTTTTGTTAGAGCGCTTGACTGAACTGTTTGTATTAAAAAATAAATCACCCGCTGTTAGCCGTTTATTATTTATCATTGAATAAATCAAATAATAATAACAATACTACTAATTATTTATTTATATTAACATTGTTTTTTTATGGTGATTATTTTCTCAGCAAATTAAAAAAAATGATTTCCCATTTTAGGCTATTTAATTTTGTTGACTTAGAGGCGCTAATGAGGTAAATCTGATGGGCTACAGTTGAGCACTTGGTGTTATTGATTGGATGGTATGTAAAACATAAAGTTTCTGATAAAATAAATGTTATTGAGACTCGGCTGTAACTTATGAGATATTATTAGATTTATCATTCGTATTAAATGTCTGAACTTTGTATTGTTGTAACGTTATTGGTTGTGCGCTTGTATCATAACATTTTCCATTATTGTATTGTCATCTGTAGTACGTTTTTTTTTTTATTAGAATATGATGTACACTAACAAAAAACCGAAGGGAATTAGAAATTACTAGTCATTCGCCAGCTAGATTTGTATAATCGAGTAGTAAATCACCATATTAAGTTTATTTGTGTAAATTACGCTTCAGGAATAATTTTCGTTACTTAAAAAAATACTTGACAATCTTTGGAAATTAGTTAAAAAAAAAATAAAGGTGCATATTCATACATAGAAAGGCTTAAAACAGTAGTTACTTGTTTTCTTTTGTAATCGATGTTTGATTGAAGTTTGAAAAACCATAAAATGTACATATATACATATTATATCAGTAGACAAATATAACAGTTCAATAAACGTTTTCTGATCACCACTCAAGTATTCGTTTATTTCGAAAACAAGGCGTTTAAGACATACGATTATGGGCGAAAAAAAATGTTACAAGGCCGACTACAGATTTTGCAATGTTTACAATATTAAAACAAATTCATTATACACAGGACATTCAAAGGGGCCATGTGATGCTTGACGAAATGATCGTAGCCTTACAACGCAGCATCCAAGGTTTCATACGACCTGTACGTATTTGTTTTGTATTCGTATTTAACTCGAAAGGATATTTGTGCAGGAATTAATATTTTGGTTTTTTGTGCATTACAGTTTATTATACCAGGATCTCACGAAATACTATTCGAACCACAAGTGTACGTTACCGTTATAGTGCACACGCCATTTTACACGTCGCTGGCTCAGCAGGTAAGTCTGTTTAAAATATAGTTTGTAATTTTAAAAATTGAAAAATTCAAATTGCATATAAAAGAATAATTAACTACCAATTAAAATGTCTTACTTTATGTATGTATTAATAATTTTGTTCCTAATATTATCTAATACTGTACATGTATATATTTGTTACTTTATATAATTTTTGTCGTTTGTTCTCAGGTGTTGGTCCAAGGGTGGCGTGTGAATAATCACAATTTTAGTGAATTTATCAAAATGATCTCATGTGAAATGACTCGATTGGAAAACGCAGTGGCCCAATCAAATACAGTTTCGTGGAAAAATACAGTAAACAACAAACGCAATAAACTATGACTTTTCCGCTAGTGTGTCAATTTGTTTTGCATTTACAGAATTCCGACGACGAAAACATGTCATCGTCGTCGGACGATGATTTCTACGACGCCAACGACCCTGGTCGTGAAGACCGCAATCAAAACGGTCATACGAGTGTTGGCGCAACCAGCCGAAGTCGTCGAAACAATTTAGTCAGCAATGCGGAGAAAAATATGAAAATAACAACAATGACCAACAGCAACAGTCCCGACTCTGGATTTATAAACACACTTAGGTACGGAATGCTGGCCGTGAGATTGTTGCCCCGATCCAGTATATCGAGTGAGTTTATCGTCGAAAACTTAACCTATCGCATTTCGATTGGCTGTAATCGAGTATAATTTCCAGACTTGATAGTCATCACTGACGGAATGATCACTTTGGCCGACATTCAAGTGTTGGATTCGGTGCTGAATCAATTGAGATGCATCGGCGTCGCCTGTTCGTTTATGCACGTTTCCAGTCAATTTCATCCGCATTCGTGCCATGGTCTCGTGCCGTATTCGGAGCTCATGCAACTCATTGCCACCGCCACTATGGGCACGTATTTGAACACGTTCCCCGACACCGACGACGATTCCACCGTGAACTATTATCATGAAAAATTTGTCTTGTGGACGTTCAGAAAAGGAGACGATATCGCCTCGTCCAACGCTATGTCGTCAAACAACACGTCGAATCTCAGTTGCACCCCACCACGCGTACGCCACGGCGAATGGACAGTAAAGTAATGTGTAGTATTATTTACTAATAATGTAAATTCAAAGTCCATACCTATATATATATATATGTACTATTTAGAACTAAATGTCTAATCCTAAATAATAATCTAAAAAAAAAAAGAATCTAAACATATAAGGAGACGTTATTGTTTTGTCTGTTTAACATATATTAATTTACACGCAAAGTTAAATGGTTTATTGCTAATGAAAAATTTCAATTTTGTTATTAAAAATCATTTATTTTTGTAATTTTTTAGAAACTCGAATTTTTATGGTAATCGACAAACACAACTATTAACGAAAAGGCAAATAAACGACCACATGCAAGCGCACTTGGACAACGTAGTGTGTTGTCGTATGCGTGAAGGATTCATCATAGAGGTATGGACATTATGTATTTTAATTGTGTCTTGCAAGACAAAAGATGACAAGGGCTATAGATACTCGATAGCGTGTAATTATATTTAAATTCCCATCTGTCGGATAACTAATTAGAGGTGAACTAATGTTGTGTTGCATTTTATGGAAATAAACGATGTAATATTTGTTCAGCAAAGTCTTACGCTTTTAAAACTCAATTACAGTGCACAAATTGATAAATTATATTTAAATAATTATCATCGTAAGTTACACTCATTGTTTCTTCTTTCGCAGGATATACAATTCAGAGACGCCGGTAGCAGCTCTACGAATTCCAAGCTACAGCTGAAATTTGTCTTACCGTGGACCAATCATATATACATTGAGTACGATTTGACCGTGAAATGGCCGCCGCCAAGTTGTTCGTTAGCCGGACCAGTCATGTCACAAGGTTCGACGACGGTGCAGTCCCCGCCCGCGTCCATCACGCAGTCTACACATATACCAATACCCTCACAATCGGATAGCTGCTTAAACATTCATTATGTAATTTTAGTAAAAGGTTAGTAGGATACACATAACAAAGTAACTCGTATACACCAGGTCAATCGTCTTCAGTACTGTATATCTTTATTGCTTATCAATTTCCATTAAATTTTGAGCGAAACTCGATAAACCATTCATATAATATTATTTATTCAGTATTCAGTATTCAGTATTTAACAGTGTCGAATCCAGGGCTGCGACTCGGTCGCTTTCTTATATTTTGTTTTTCTATGTTGTATAATACAATATACACAGGTCTAAAAAATAAAAGCAATATTCTACTCCACTCCACATTGAATCCAAACACAGAGAAAATATTTCGTTTTAGAATGTGAACTAATTTTTAAAATCCAAATTGGGGTTTATTTAGAATAAATAACAAAGTAATAAGTATAATTACTCATCCTTAGGTCCGTACGAGTTTCTCCGCGATATAACGTCTAGCAGAAGTAAGAAATCACATAACCAGAATCAGGCACAATCGTTTCAACAACGTCAGTACCAACTGTCATCGTCGTCTTCCTCAGTGACGTTTCCGCCTTTCTCTACGACAATCACTAGTGCTACTGTCCAGCTGGCGGACAACGGAACTCCTATAGCTAATCGAGGGATCGTCAACTCTACGGTCACATCCAATTACAGACAGGCTCTGATTACCCGTTTCTGGTCTACGATGCGTTCCATCGGCCAAACCGACCTGTTAGTGAAGCACCTTGAAACGTATTCGCCCAGTACGGGACATTTGGTTGACTATAACAGCTCTAGCCAAACAAGACAATACGAACAACAAATTCTCGACAACCAACAAGGCCAGAGGGGGGACCCGTTGAACATAAGCCCGAGCAGTCCGAACAGCTCTAGTAAAACGGACGCTAACAAATTTTTGGCTAATACTGTAGTAGCGGCCGCTACTATCGCCAATCTTTCGCCCACAGGCATACCAAATCGGAGTCCACTGCGCAGTGGTATGCCGTTGTTTTATCATTTGCCAACGACCACGACAACATCGGCGTTAAAGCAGCAACTACAAGTAAAATTGAAGTGAGTTTCTCAGACAATTAGATACATGCTTAATCAATAGCGTGGGTAATTTTTTTAAGTACGCTTATAATCGAGAATTTGAAAAAGAAAAAAAAAACATGAAACATTTTTTAATTTGCATAGTAAACCGAATTCAAAACCTAATCTGGTACATATTATGCGTATTTTTTTTTTTTCAAAGTGATCAACAACAAAATTACACAGACCATCAGCATCAACAGTACGCCGACTTTTGGAAACCCGTGTGCACGTTGGATCCGGATGCACAATGGCCCAGATGGTTTTCCACGTATCGCATTGGCGGAGGCGTGTTATTGCTGAGACACGATCGTCCTCTACCTAGGTGGTTGCACGTAGCCAATACGGTCAACGGCCGATACCAGACTCTTACTTGTCGCAAAGCTGCCGAATCATTGTTTGCTATGCTCAAACAATGGTGTACGTTTGTTTTGATCGACGATCATTCTTACGTGAAATGCTTAAACAGAAAGTAATTGTATTATTTATATATTAATTCACAATGAGTACAAATCATAACATTAATCAATTTGAATTTCAAAGAACCTGATTATAAATACCTCCTTTTTAAATAATTATTTTATTTTAAATAATAGTTTTAAACAAAAAACATATTTAGTTGATGTTTGAAATTTATTAAAGTTATTTTTATTTGTTATTTAAATGCGTTCAAATAGAATAAAAAAAAAAAAATTAAATTTACTATTTGAGTTTTTATTTAAATACAATTTTATTTTTTTAATAATTATTTAAATTTTAAATTAAAATAAATAAACAATTTAAATTACACTCATTGTCAGATTTGATTACAAGTATAAATTGATATAAAATGGTTGTTATTTCTTATATTTTATTGTATTTTTATTCATGTTTGTTTTATTTTTGTGATTTTAGCGAGACTTACACTAGCAACGTATCATTTTGCATTGCTCGAGTAACATTGAGACCTCCGTGCTGTTGTTGCGTGGTGTTACACGTGGCGTTTCAGAGTTGTGTACCGGCTACTGTCCATCATAAGGTATACTTAAATATTACGGTTGTAAACGTTGTATTCGAGTTTTAGTTTTTATAAGAATTGTCGACGTGTGATTATTATGTTAGATTGTAGACGATCTGAAGAAACGTGTTCAACAATTGGATTCCACAATGACCACAGCGTCGTCGGTTTTAACTACTACTACCAGCAAGAACGACGATTCTGGAAGTAACGGTGAACATCGTCACCTTCACGCCAGAAGGAAAAGCGTAATCAGCAAGATCGTCTTGAAAAAAAACAAACGACCAAAGAAATACGTGAGAATACTAGACAAACCATTGGAAAAGATTCTCATTAGGTATTATCGGTGTAATAATAATAATTGTAATAAAAAAAGTATATCGGTAAATACCGACGGGGATGGATTGGATTCGCATAGTGATAACAGCCCAGACAACTTGTGTAGGAAAGCCGCTTACGTTAAATTTAATATTTTTGAAACCAAAAAAAAAAATATATAGATTTTTATACCAACCCTGCTAATAATATGTACCAAATAAGTAAAAAAAAAACTTTTGATGTTTATTTCACTACCTTTGTTTGTTTACGAGAAAACATTTTCTCACCATATTACAAAATATTTTACTAACATTTTCAATCAATTTTTTTGCAAAAATACTTGTAGGCACAAATAATTAAATTAGTATAATTTTACAATCTACAAAAACGTTACATAGGCCTTCCCATATTTTATGGTTTATTTTTATGAGTATAATAATTAAATTCAGAAAAAAAAATATATACAATCGTCTGATTTCTTTTATTTCTATTAATAAAATATTTGTATCTATATCTAAACAAATTTATCCTTTACTTGCACCATTTAAAGCGATATATGTATATTTAGTTGAATCGCATTCAAAATATACTCTTAGGATAATATTTTTTTTATTTTTTTTTAAATAAGTAAATGAAAAATTTGTAAATAAATTTAAAAGTAAGTTTGACTCGCTAAATGTGACTTCTCTTTTGTTTTTAAAATGATAAAAAAACATATATGGAGAAAAATTGTATCCACTTTAATTTTTCTTAAAAATTACACATTTTAGACAAAAATAACTTGAGTTAATCTTCGTCATTATTATTATTAATTAACAGATTTTTTTTTATAAAAAAAAAAGTAACTATCAAAACAATTAAAATTACTTATTCTATTGCTTTAGAAGATTCTAGTAGTGTTCTTTTCTTTTTTCAATATTAAAATACTTATAATATCAAAAAAATGGAGATTTTCACAACGTTTTTATTATTAAGATAACGCTTAAAATTTGACTGTACCCCGTACTAATACGATACTGGTCTCGTAGAAGACACAACTAACCTGTCGCCGTTTCTAATTGCACGCTGGCCTGATCCGTTCCGTATTATATTGATATTACATAGCCAATATTAATAAAAAAAAAAAATTGTTTGTAATAATTTGTTAGTTTGTTTGACGTTTTTATATTGTCTTAAAGATACGAACGGATGCCTTCGCAGTTCACCACAGTTATATTTCCGGATGGCACTCAACCCAATTCTATAATCAACGCTTCGCCCGTGACCACAAATTTCCATTTTCCAAACCCTACGGCCAACAGTGGACGACAACAGTTGAACCAACGTGGTATTTCCGACGGAAGACTAAGCACCACGCCGACAACAACTACAACCCTGTCACGTTATTTGTACCACAGACGATGGATTTGGAGCAGCGGACACAGCCAACACAATAACAGCAGCACATCGCAACAACAACAACAGCAACAACAGTTGGCTCGTACTCTGTCCATATTGACAAAGTATGCTAACGCTTTGGATAAAATCAATTACGATTCGCATAATAAGTCAACCGTTTTTTTAATTTTATTGTTTTGCTTTAGGATCCGTTTGAGAGAAGGATTTAGGTTTGCTCATTCGTCTGCCGGCATTATTAATATGGTTTTGCAAGTAGACATGACCGAAGTGAGTATTTAACGGTTGATTCCTAAAGTCTTCCTGTTGTATTAACTATAATAAATTCACACTCGGGCATTATTCGAAAATAGTCTTTTATTAGCATGGAACATGCTATAGCCGCGGGCCCTCAGCTCAAAAACGACACAAAATAGCGTCACGAAAGTAGCGCGATCTAACGGTTGTTTTTTTAAAATATAATATACATATATATATATATATGTATGTATGTATACAAGTGGTGCGATCTAGCGGTTCGCTTTTTATTATATATATAAAAACAAATGAATGGTTAAAAGAATGTTGAACCAGGTGAATGTTGCCAGTAATCCAATAAAGGCCAAATATTAAAAAAGAAGACTACACTACCATAATATATCGCAAGGAGATTATAGATCGGCAATAATCGTTATACAAGAGCCAGCAGACCAGAGCATGTTCCATGTTTTATAATTTTAGCCGTTAGGCTTTGTGTAGACTGTAACTATTTGATTATATTTGATTGATTTACAGACAATGTCTGTAAACTTCTCCATTTAATTCATTTCATTCATTACTTCACGGCGTTTGTTGCAGGCGTCTTCTTTGGACAAAAACAAATCGTCCGAAACGAATACGACTACTAGCCATTGTGTCATACAGTATGTACTGTTTCCTCCGCACATCATTTCCAAACACCAGCCGCTTGACCACGATGCTGATGATGTAAACGACGGTTCAAAAGCGAGACTCAACGACGATAACATGTATTCGTCCGAGGATGAAGACCAACGTCCGGAAAAGTACAAAAGACAAGAAAAAAATATCAACGTCGAAACAACGAATGGTGGACATTCGTCCATAGAAGACGATTACCAACTGATAACGGAATGTTGGATCGAACCACAACACGGATCAGTGGTCGTAAGCGGAGACAAAAACAACGAATACATGTCCGGACTGATGTACGAACAATTAGCAGACGCTGTAAGTAAATTTGTCATTGCATTTTTTTTTTTTTTCAATTCTACATAATTAAATTATAAAAAAATTACTCAAGAGAACGCCACACACTTAACGTTTAAACCATGCTATTTTTTTTTACCGTTCTTTTTTCAATAGTAGTAAAATGTTTAAAATGTATAGGAAACAATATCGTACACTGCATGTCATCGGTTATTGTTGATATCTCTATTAGCTTAGTTTTTTCATTAATTATTAATTAATTCAGTAAACAAATATTTGTTTACCCGAGAACACATTGTTTTTTATTTTTCTCAGAGAAGTTAACTTTGGCCACTTATCAGTACACTTTCATATAAAAAACCACGTGCATTTAAACTCTTAACAATTATTCAATATTGGGTCTAACATTTATTTTTTTAAACTTTCATTTATCTGTGACTATTTAACAGGACGCCACCCCCCCCCCTTAATTTATTTAGGAGTTTGATAAGACAAGTTTTGTCAAGATCTTGTCAATATTTTTGTATAAAAAAATACTACTTTTTTTATCAGAATATCATTAATTTTATTTTCAACATTTTTCTTCATTTTCGCAGAATCTTAATTTGAATAACACTTGAAAAACATGATCATACGACTTACGTCAATTTTTGTTTAAACAGTAATTAAATAAATGTCTATTGAAGTGATTAAAAATAGAAATAAATTGAGCTTTAAATAAATTATTTGGTACTAACTTGTTGTTGAACATAAAATATTGAATTATAATCTAACTGATGACCTGATGAATATGCATCTAATACATATTTTGGTTTTGGAAAATTTGTTTCTGTTTATTGGCCTTTCATAAAGTGTTGTAGATTTTATTTTGAACAAGGCCTATAAAAAAATTAATATATATTTATGTATATTATAGCATATCTTATAGCATATCTTTAGTGTATATTTTGAACGCGATTGTAATATTTTTCATCTCATTAATGTCTTCTGACTTTACAAAGGTCTTGAAAACGTCTATTAAAGCTTCCATAAAGTACCCAATTTATTGGTAATTACAGAAAATGGGCTTCCTAATGCTCAATGTCATTAATTGTACTAACAAGTATTATTTAGTTTGATAGTTCAACAAAAATATTGAGATTTCAACGTGGGATATTTTATTAATGGATATTTTTAATTAGAACATATTTTACATACATTTCTCATTACTTAAGTGAGCCGACGTCTGAATATTAAATTATATTTTTTGAATAAATTTCATAGTTAAAAACGTTCATCGGTTAATAAAGTATAAACATAACAATATAAAGCAAAATACTGTTTTTTAGTATTATTTTCTAAAAACTAGTTATTTTTGTTTTCTTTCTATACTTGTTTAAAAAGTTAGTATGACAGCAATTTAAAGATTTACTATTTTAATAAATAGAAAGGGATGTATTTACAATGTTTATTGTTGAAAAGGACATTATTTACATCGTATAAAATTATAAATTAAAAAAAAAAACTTTTAATAAAAAAGTAATTCATAAATTGTAACATTTAAAATTGAATCTCAAATATTTAGAGAATACTTTGGTTGGACACATTTTTTATATGTACTTTTAGAAATAGCAAATTAATTAGCATATATTTTAGTAATATGTATTTGTTTTCAACGAAATTGTGAATATTCATATTTTTTTTTTGTCATACGAGTGCCTTTTTTAAGAACTTTAAGACCTTTTTTTTAACATTAAAATGTTTAATTTACACCGTTGTTTGGATTCATCAATATTAGTTTTTACTATAATTATATTTATTCGAATTATTAGATTTGAATTTTTTTTTAATCTAAATTAAATGATAAAATAATTGATTTCAACAAAGACTATAAAAGTAAGGAGACACGTTTTGTAAGAGAAGTTATATTTTTTCAATTCGCATTAAAAAAATAAACTAAAATTTAAATCCGGATAAAATAAATTCCAGGCACAATGATAAAGGTATGCGGATATCCTGATACTTCAGCTATCTGTACTTGAGTCTTCAAACCAAATTGACATTTTCAGTAGTCTAATATTACCTAGTCTGACGGCAGACCAAACGTTTTATGGAATTTTTTTTTTTTAAATACTATATATATGCTTAGTACTCAAGAAACGTATCATTAATTATTTTGTTAAAATGTTGAAATATTAAAAAGAGATGGGAGGGAGGGAGTAGGTTTAAAATAAAATACATTTTTGCGTGTAGTTGGAAAAAATCCTTACAACAACAAGGTCTGCTGTTGAAGTCCTTCGATTAATACCGCCGTTGGAATTTATGTCTTATTTATAATTATAATTAACATATTGTCGTTTTCACGGGTATCACGTTATACAATATGGAGTTATATTTTAATTGTGTATGGTTATTTCATTTGTATTTTGTTTTATTGCATTATAATTTCAAGTGCACCTCAGTCGGAGAGATAGGTACCTGTAATGAGGGCATGATGATGAATTTCGTGTCATTAATCCTCTACCTAGTCGTCGGTTTTATCTGTACGACGCCCCAGCAAACAAACTAATATTTGTTCATCGATAACGAGAATTCTTTGCCTACAATAATATAATATTGTATGAATAGCTGTTTTGTTTGCATTGACTCTCGCGTGTGCGTGAGTGTGTATAAACTGTGCCGCCACGTTTGCGGGTGCTTATGGTAAAGAGTCGTTTACACGAGCATAGATAAAAACTTAAAGGTTAATAAGATAAATAATAGAAAATCGAAAAAAATGTAGATAATCGAAAATCCGATGACGAATTGACGTAGCCTAAGCAAAACAGAGCAAACCCATCTGTAATTTGTAAAAAAATATTAGATTGAGTATGGAAAACGTAAAAACGCTCAATCCGTGGATTAAAATATAAGTAATTTATGAGAATAAGTAGTATACTGTACATTGATAATTTGATATCTTAAACAAAATATAAGAGCTTTTTTTAAGAAGTTAAAATGCCGTATTTTTAGGTAAAATCACAGTACAGACAATATTAGTTTTGTAGGGTTTTTTAGACAAAACAAAATGCAAAAGCTGATCTTGGAAATTGTTATAGGTATTAAGTTTATTGAACTGTAATGTGTTGAATATACTTCTATAAACACACGTTAGGTCAACTTTTTCTGTTTGAATTATTGACCTTAAGTATAAAATCTACCCCAAAACGAGGTAAGTGTGCTATATTTTCAAATTAGAAAATGTGTGCATTTTGAAACGTCACAAACAAAAACAATATTTTTATATTAAAATGTTTTTTTTTTATTTGAAACCTTTATTATTTTACGATAAACAATTTCCAAATATTCTATTTTTAAAATGTAATATGGATAATATACTTCAACGTATATATTATTTGTATTAATTTAAGAATTTGAGAATAATCTACCAAAAAAAGGGTTTAAACAGATTTTTGAAAAAAAGTGTTTGTTGTAGGGTCAGAATAGATTTACCTACTGTCAAGTTTTCTGACTTCAAGTCCAAAAATCTTACTATTTCTTACTAGTATGACACCGTTTAGGGTTTTTTCCTTAATGTAGATCTCTCAAACGGTTGGTTTTGTTATAGCAACTAGCTTATAAAATTCCATCGACAAGTGAGTTTTCACGATTATTTAATTAATTACCACATTCAGTGGTTTAGTGTGAGTCTTTTAGTACACGGCGATAAACCGTTATAAATCCGGCAGTTTGGCCACGTGAAACCACATTTTGTTTTTCATTTATTTATCTTTGTTGTTTTAAAAAATATACTTAAAAAAGCAATACACTCAATTAAGCCGTGCCTTCGTGTTTAATGAATCATGTAACGCTTGTCAACTGTTTATACCGTTTGTTTAATTTTTCTTCAAATACAGATTTCACAAGGCGTTGTAACATGATGTGTGTTTTTTGTAGATATTATCTTGAAACTTCTAGAAAACTCTAAAAAACGTTTCGCCCCGAGTCGTACGCTTATCTGTTTCTATTTTATCTTAAGTGTTTTTCGCTTTAAATCACGACCACAATTCTTATTGGTTTTGAGTTATTAACACAAACTTTGTCCAAAATTTAGAGTCATTTTTAATTCTCAGACAATTACTGGATTATATTGTAAACATTTGCTTTAGACAAAAGGAGTGGACATTCTAAAAATCTTTCAAATCGACCAATCGACTTTAAAAAATCACCGAATAAAGCCGTGCCCGTTTAAACTTAATTTTTTTCCCTCCATTTTTTTTCCATTCTTTTAACAGTGTAATACATAGTTGAACTAAAATTTATTAATTTTAGTTGCAGAAATCGGCTTCAAACATTTTTTTTTTTACATTTTGTAATTTTTGTACATTGTTTAGACTTCTTTGAATATTGATATTTAACAGAATGATATTTTACAAAACTAAAATGTACCTTAAAGAGTCTAAAACTAAAGAACAATCACCCCTTTCCCAACAAAATGAAAAATTCAATAAAATAACGCAAATCCTTTACCCTAGAAATGTTGGAATATTATTTTTCTGTACAGTTTCTTAGGGGAAGTTTTAGAGCTTAAGTTCTATTTTCTAGTTTCGAATTTGTATGAGCTTTAGAAACAGTACTTGGATACATTCGGAAAAATTCAAGAATAGATTTTGTGAAAAATTAAATTCAAATCAAAATTGACTAGATTTTAATATTTAAACAATTTTCTTATTCGAATAAATATTTCCAAAACAATGCTAGTCAAGTCGGGGTCGGAATGTAAACTTAATTGATTTTTTGGAAAATTATTTAAAATATATCTTTTGTTATTGAGTAATCAATTCAAAAAGTATGAAGATTTAGGGCAAAAAATATGTTCTTATGATATACAACTTTACAACTTTGTATTAAATAAACTATATCAGATAAAGTATGAAACCCTTCGTTGCACTTCTATATGCCAAGGTGATTCTAACTAACAAAGACCCTAAATAACAAAATTTGGTCATCGGTTTCACTGATCAGCGTGTCCAAAGACAACTTTAGCTAAAATTAACATTTTT